CTCACTCACAAACACTACACAAATATATTTAGAGATTAAGAGCAACAGAAAGTGTCTGTAATACTTTAATCTTTAACCGATTTCAATTTGTAAAAGCAGGCATCAGTTGTTCAAACACAGATCTGGAGCTGGGTGGAATTTGTTCGGTTGTTCCAGGCCCTTTAAAGTCTGTAAAAACTCCTAATGAGTTGAGGACACGATGAGACATGATGCATCACCCGAGGCACCGAGTTGTTCAACACCGTACTAACATAACATGATTGTCTCGGCACGAATTTGAACCCGTTTACGACAGAAGACACGTTTCTTTCAACAAGGACTTCTGAATAGACGGATTTAGCTGCAGTGCTGAGCTGTTTAGTTTTTCCTCCTGCAGATTTATGTGCATGACAAAATCCTAAAGTCTTACTAAGAAATAACTTGCTGCTTTTTTGATTAGTACATCAAAAGCAGCACATACGTAGCTGTGTGGAGCTGTGCAGTTTTTTTTTTTTTTTTCTTCAGCTCTCGTGTCGGTTTTGTAGCGTACCTCCCATTGCTGCTGCTGTCTGACTGGCTGGGAGGGAAGGCAGAGGGACACAAATGGTTAATCTGTGTGCCTGTCTTCCTTGGAGATGGGAGAGGCCATTTGAATGGCTAGCTTCTACAGCTAGCCAACACATTGGCTAAGGCTGAGGGTGGATCTGTTGCTGCGCCTGTGCTCCGACATGGAGCCCTGCTGGAGGATCAGGAGTCAGTGTGAGCAGACAGCAAAGCTCTTGTGTATATCTGTGTGTGTGTGGGTGTGTGTGTGTGGGTGGGTGTGGGTGGGTGTGTGTGTGAACAGTGCATGCATTTGGGAAAAAAGTTAAAGGGGCAGCTTCCAATAAAAACTGTGGAAACAGAAGAAAAACATCATATCAAGAGGGACCATTTTGTTTTTCAGTGTGGAAATTATCCCCGGTGTTCTTTGTAAATCCCACCGTTGAGTAGATTATTTAGACTAGCAGACTGACGTAGATAAAAGGTGGTTATATCATTTGTTTTTCTAGCAGCGTGCCCCCTCACACTGCCATTCTCACATTGCTGCCGCCCACCCCAAACTCTCGCTCTTCGTGCACTTCAAGAGCTTACCTCTGTGACTGTTTTGTTCGTTTAAGGCCTGACCTCATGACACTAATGAAGCTAAGCAGTTTAGGTCACAATTACAAAGAAAGACAGATTATTGAGGTTAATTGTCTCTGGTAATTTGAAGGAAAGCACCCAAATATCCATTTTCCCTTCCCGGTTTATGCGGCTGAATATTTAGTTCAGATCGATAAAAGACATACATATTCTACACATTTATAGCGTGACCTGTGACCCTGCCCCCTAACCTCTACGAAACATTATCAACCTGTGTTGTTGTGTCTCAGCGTAGAATGAGGACAAGTGTGCAGGATGGAAGGAGGTTCTCGGAGGTATAATAACAGCGACTGGACCTGCCTGCTGAGATTAGGCCCTTTCTCACCCACACGAGCCAGAT